AAAAGATAAAGGACTTGGCATGAGGAAGTTACTGGGAACATTAGTTCCTCTACTTAGCAAGCCTATAACCAAACCACCAAGTTATTAGTTCAAGAAGCTGTAAAAATTAAAAGTCCTTGATCAAAATCAACAAGAAACTATAAACCAGAAATATGCTACCGGGAAGAGGGGTGATGGAGGAGGGGAAGAGGGATTAGGGTCAAAAAAGGGGGGGTGGGAATTGTATGGGGAATATAACCAAGATGAAAATGCATACATTGTGCAAAAATGAAAAATGATGTAATATATATATCTATATATAAGTCCCTGACTATTAACCCAATAATTCAAAGGTGAACCATATTAAATGATCTAATTATTGTGCCATGGCTATTATATACCAGTGGTAAAGAAGTCATAGCAAAATACATAATTATTTACAGAAAAATATTATCAGCCTAAAATGTCTTTAAGATTTTCTTATTTTGAGGTTGATTTATAGATCCTAGAAGACTATCAGTGTCAACATTTGTCCCTGGTATTTCATGTAGTGATAATTGATATCAATCATCCTAACTCATTCATGTTAAATAGTAAGTGTCCTATCTCTTGCTCCTCCCTCATTTCTGTATGACCTTAGGGATGTAGGGAAATTATTTCCTTCACCTCTGCCCCAACTTTCTCAGACTTTTCCTAGCACCTCAAATTAACTTTACTAGAATCAGAACCCATTCCTTCGATAAGTCAGGAAAGGTATTTAAGGGATGACCTCTTTTCATACCATGGCCGTGAGTACAGCCTTCCCAACTTTAATGAACGAACACATTTTTGGGAAATTGGAAGGCCCTACCCTGAGGAGACAGAAGGGAAAGGCAAGCTTCTGGGCAGCTCCAAGCTGGGGCTCTTTGTTGGGTGGCTTCTCTGACAACTCTGTGCCTTGCATTACCCTGCTCACCTTCTTCTAGGCTCTGGTAACAGGACTGCTGCCATGAGCCTCTAGGCCAGAGTGAAAATTCCTACAGTGAAGGGAAGACCCAGTAAAGTCCTAGAGTATCTCAGGACAGGATCTGAGCACTAAGAGGTTTTATGGGAACCCTGAGAATGGTATTAAGGGCACAAGAGTGTCAGCCACTCCCAAATGTTGTACCAGTTGCACAACCAGAAGCTGAGTTTTCTAGAGTCTTTAGTGATTCTAAACTTCTGCAAGGTCTCCTGTAATTCCCACCCCCCCATTGTTATTTGTGTGCTTTGTCTCCACCACATCTTGGTTGGGGTGCGATGGCATTTCTTCCACTGTTTATCTTTTTATCTTCTCTTTTTTCCTCTGCAGGTTCAATTTTAATATGTAACAGGAACTCACCAGACCAATTTTTATTGTGTTTCAAATGCTTCACATACTTGAAATACAAAATATTCTGGCAGTTCTCTAATGCAGTGTTTCTCAATCTTAGCTGTTCATTAAAATCACTGCAGGAGTTTTTAAAAATTGTGGTGCTTGGGCTGCACTTAGGCCAATGAAATCAGACAATCTGGTGATGGGATCCAGACAGCCAGTGCTAAGAAACAATGCTATTATGGAAAGTAGTACCTCTGTGTAGCATGCTAATATTTGTCTTCACTTTTTTATCTTCAACCAACATTTACCACATGCTTGAGGGACCCATTGGAATATTAATTGGCAGAAAGTTAACAATGCAGAAACTGAATTATATCATGATCTCATTGTAGTATGTCAATACTTCTGAGGTCATGTTGGCCAAATACCCCTCAGTGTCCTTGTATTCAGCAGCTACTTTGGTGGCTGACAGCCTAAGAGAGGCTTGCCTCATGAGAGCAAATAAGAAAAAAAAAAAAGCCCTCTAGATATGAAAGATGTCAGATTTCAAAGACTGCTGATCTATTATATAAAGTGCAGTGACACATTAGTACAAATATTTACCTTCACCTTTCTCCTCTGGAGTCTTTGTTCTCACTTTAACATTGAATAACGATTGACTTCTTTTCAAAAGGAAAAAGGAAAGTGATAAACCTTTCATTACCTTTTTCTTAGGAACTTTCTTTTTGAGAACTGAGACAGATTTCCTATTCCTACATTTTGATATGGCATGATTTGCTCTATTTCAAGTTCCTTAGTTCATTTCTTTGACCTCAATACAGGTATTCATGGGTAGAAAGTTGCTTGGGGGAAAAAAAAAAGATAAAACATCCAAAATTTGCCACAGGTATTTGTTGGTTCCTCAGCTAGCACAAGCCAACTAGAGTTTTCTCTTTTTAATGAGATGAGTAGAGGAATAAAGATAAGTTTTAAGGACCCAGAGGAATGCTTTCTGCACTGAATCATCTGGTACTTAGCAAGGTGCTGGCAAATGGTATGAGTGCCATGGATACCTGTAGAGAGCCTGAAACGTTGTGCCTGACAAACTCTCCTCTATTTTTAATAAAAGATAGTATTGAGAGTTAGTGATCAGAAAGAATTCCTTGGCATGATCAAGGTGAGAGACAAGACTAGACTACATCATTCAGTAGAATTTTAGCAATTCCTTTTTAGGATTTTTTTTTTTGGGAGGGAGGGTCACTGATCTTAAAGAAAGACTCAGCAATTCTAGCTGTATGAAATCTTACTTCTTTTGAAGTTAGAATTTAATAACTCTTGAGAGTTATTATTAGGCTTATAATTCCAGAAGACAATGCATTCAAGGTCATTTAAAGCAAAAACATTCAGCTTTCCTTATTTCAAGACTCAACACCTGCTTCAAGTTTCTCCATATTTTACTTATTTGTCAGTTATGTTTCTATACTCATTAGAAAGAAATAAATGGCAATTTGAAGTAGAAGGCTCAGGCCGTCTGTTTAAACATGTAGGTTGTGTGCTGCCAGTGTCAGGCACCTCCATTACTGAGACTATAGTGTGAGCAGCATTCCCTGGAACTGTGAATCTGATGGTCCTGGGAAAGAGTCCTGTTTTTTCCAGACCTGTCATGGCAGCGTAGAATCACAATAAAATCCACAGTATTCTATGGATTTTCAGTGGGCTGTGTATTTAAGGTTATTCAGTGATTTTTTTTCTTTGAAAGATTTATTTATTTATCTATTTATTTATTTATACATATAATCACTGGGTACAGTCAGAAGCGCGGGAGGGTGAGAAAATTCACCAGAGCCAGAGCGGGGAGCAGAACAGGCAGATTGATGAAATACACTGCTGAGGGGAGCAGCGGGCGTGGCAGGAGAGGTCTGTTGCACCATGCGGGACTCTCGCCGGTGGCCAGGGATCCAACCAGTGCTGCAGAGGCTGCGGGCAGCTTCACAGCCTAGTGCTCAACTGCTGCGCCACCAGGGGAGGCCTGGTTATTCAGTGATTTGATTTTAAAATCTGGCCTATTTATTTAGTCCTTGTTAGGGGAGATAGTATAAGAGGAAAATCCATTGATCTAGTAAAAAATGATGCTCTAATAACATAGACATAATTTCTTTGGGCAATGATATTCCTAGGAGGAAAGCTCAGAAATAATCATTTGGTCATTTTACCTCAAATTACTTACTTCCATTTGCTAGCACTATAGCAAAGGGTAAATGTGAAGTACAGCTGTTTTCTCAGAGGAGGTTAGTAATACAGTTTGCCCTACAGGACAATCTCAGCCTGAAATTATCATTATTACTCTGTTTTCCCAATCTTTCTTGTCATTTCCATTGAGAAATATAGTTCAATACTCCCTGAGAGTCACAGGGGAAGCAGAGAGAATTGTGTAGCTTGATACTCTGGGGTAATATCACTTGACAATGTCAGACTGAACGTTGTCTCTTAGCCCAACCACCTGGGCTGCACATGATTCTGAATCTGAGTGTTGTGGAATCTCTCCAAGTACCTCTGGAGAAGAAATGGGTCATCCCATGTGCAGCCAACCTGGAATAGTCTTGGTGTAAAGGGTTCTGGGCTTTTAAGAAGTGAGAGGAAGATTGGCCTATTCTTGGGTCCCATCTAAAAATGGATCTGCTGGATGGTTGTGCCAGTTCAAACTGAGTGAGTACATTTATTCAGTTTTTAATGATTTATAACTCTTTATATCTACAATATTCAGAGAAGTGGGCTACGTGCAGAATAGAAAGTAAAACATCAGTTTCCCCCATTTTAGGAACTTACAGTTTTTGTGGAGGAAAAAAGTCTCCATGAAATTGTTAAACACCACCATACTGGAAATGGGCCCAGTGTGATTTAGAGTGCTTACGGAGAGGCTGTGGAGGAAGTAGGACTTGAGTTGGGTCTTGCAACTTGTAACAAAGTGTGGCTAAGCGGAGGAGGGAGAAGAACATACTTGTGTACTGGTGGACTGCAATAGCCTGGACCAAACCTGAGGTTCAGAGTTTCATGCCAGGAAATTGGAACCAATGTAGTGGCTTTTACACTGTTATAGCAGCACAACATCTGTTGTTGTTCCTTGAGATCTTGTGAGGTTTTGGACTTTCACTAGAATATGTCCTCGGGCATAGGGCAGGTCCCTTCCTGTTCATTGCACCAGCACTGTGCTGATGACTAGAAGTTCTGGAGTACAAATGGCAGCAGACAATGACAGAGTATGACATGAGAGCTGTTTTCTACAATATCTAAAGCAACATCCTGCTTGCCATTTGGCTAGCCTGATTTCTATTTAACTCTGTATCTGTCTGTGGGTCAGAGAGAATATGCACTATTGCTGCTTTATTGAGATTCTCTTCCTCCTGAGAAAAAATAATAATTTGGAGTACAGTTTATTCCAGGTTTTTCTGCAGTTTTAACTCAGGGTCAGACTGTGTTCTTGAGGACAATGTCACACAAGGCCCTTTCTAGAGAAGTTCATCTCAAACGTGAATGTGTGTATGATTTGCTAAGGATCTTATTTAAAGAGTCCGGATTCATTAAGTATGAGATAGAGCCAATATTCTGCATTTCTGGTAACCCTGAGGAAATACTAATACTAATTGCCCAGGACCACATTTAGTAGTATAATTTATTCAAGGCATAATATGGATGCTATGACAACAGAGTGACTCATAATGGTTGAGTGTGTGAAGGAGCAGGGTGGAGGGGAAATATTTTTCATGTGAGTTTATAGCCACACATGCTCCCACATAGACTTGCCAATGAGTCATGGTCACTGTCCACTCCGACCCTGACTTCTCATTAGGAGGAGCTCCCCCAGGACATGCCCACGCTGAAGCTCAGGAATACCATGCCTTTCCCATCAAAAGCCCAGTGAAGAAACTTATGACTTTCCAGCAGTGAAAGAAACAAGGGCAAACAGAATGCTCCGTTGGTTTTGTCATTTCTCCTCATCAATCTCATTGCAAATTGGAAGGTGAATCTGGTGGTTTCTTCCACTCTACTCAACTCAGCAGGTGTTTATTGCATGTCTGCTCTGGGCCTGACACTGTGCTAAGTATGTGGGTCTATTTTAAATGGTGAAAAGTGGTCTCCCATGTCCAGGGATTTACTATGTTAATGGAAAGAAGAAAACAGAATACTACAAGCAATGAAAGAAAAACATGAGAGAGGAGGGATATAATTATGTGCTAAATTGAATATAATCAAGTGCCAAACCTATGACACAAACAGTAAGTGCTGTGAAATGTCAGGGAGAGTTAGGATGTTGGCTTAGCTCTGTGAAACCAGAGTTGCAGATTTTAAATTGAGAGCTCTATTGTTTGACTTGAATTGGGGTTTTGGAGATCTTGCGGATACAGAATTTGGAACTACTGGGTAGGAACGGGAAAGGTAGAGGCCAGTTAGTAATACAGTCCACTTGTTTCAGGTACTTAGAGCCCCACAATGAATGCAAATCACACCTCCCACCCCAGACCTTCTCAGCCTTCCAGTGAATGAAGCATCTCTTTAAATGAAACCACCTCTAGATAATGTGATCATTGCTACACCGTGCTGGGTTTGACTGGACACTCCCACAGCTCATAGGGAATTCAGACGTGAAATGAGGTCTTTCCATAGAACATGAGTAATAATGGGGCTTAATGGAGAAGGTCATCGTGAGAATCTCAGGGCAGATACCTTATAGTTTAGATGGGCTAGACAAAAGGAGAAGGGGCTGGGAAAGGCCCTCAAAAGCAGAGAGAAGACTCCTATCTGTTATCTTGTCCATGAAAGCCTGGGGGGTGAACAATGCCATTCAGTACTTATATAGCACTTTAAGCTCTTTTATAAACATCAGCTGGTAAAGTCACATGACACTCCTGGAGAGCGAAACACATTGGTCTTCCCCTGATTCTGAGAGTGAATTATGGGCACAGAGCCTACATTCGTCTGGCTGGAAAACACTCATACGTCCCTGGGCCTACCAAGCTGGGAGAACAGGCCAGTGCCCACATGGCCCCATCTATTAGGTGGCTTAGCTTTGCCTTGCATGAAGTACCAGTCCTCAGTGCAAGGAACAAATATCAGGTCTCTGAGCTGTGTCATGGAGCACTCCACTGCTATTAGAACTAAGGGAAAAGATAACAGTTCTCCTTCCTGCACTGCTAGTGGAGTTAGCTTAACTCCCAGTTCCCTTGAAAGTGGTTTTCCTCAGATATTCTCTCCTTCCTGCACTTTATGTCCTTTTCTGACCAAGTAGACCAAGAGTTACAGGACCTGTTGTTGAATATTTCCTGCATGAATTTTCCATATGGGGTCTGTTTCATGCTCACTTTGGTATCTGAGACCTTTTGTGGTGGTGCCTCAGGCTAGACTAAGGCAGGAAGAGTGCTGTAAACTTTGGATCCTACCAGCAGCTGTTTTCCATCTCTGCAAAGAGACTGATAGGAAACTGCCAACATTTATCTACAGGGTGAACTTGAAAGAAACCCTTTTCATTTGCTGTTCTTACCTTCCCTATCAAAAGCATTTGGATGCCCAGCGGTTTCTAATTGGTGTAGACCAACTCTAGCCCACACATGCATTTTCTTTAGCTGATCTTGCGGCTTGTAAAAATCCAAATTAGCTTTTAATATTTTTAAGTAGTGTATTTTCATATAAAAGTTCAAATTTCTGACTTCTCTTGAATAAATTCTGAGATGCTGGGAACCCTGGGCTCACACTCCTGCTTGGAAGCCTTGATCCTAAACTCAAGAGCAGTCCCAGGCGCTTCACTTGTCCTTGATGCTCTTCAGCCCATTGCACCCAGTTTCACTCACCTAGTTTCTGTGAACCTTTGAATTTTTGACCTTCGTGAGTCACAAAAACATCCTGCATTTATCTCATCTTTATATTTTGGTGTTGTATATAAGGCAGATAAGAGGTTGAGGTAGGTATGGGTAGGAGTGGTTCAGGAAATATAGAAAGCTGATTTGGAGATAGCTTAGAAATGTCCCAACTGGAAATAAAGAAATAATCTACCAGTGCTTCTCACATCACCTGTGGAGAAGGGTAGTTTGTTTCTTATTTTCCAATCCATCACAAACTTGTACTTTTGTAAAATGAAATATACCTGAATGCCTAGAAAAATCCTATACAAAGGATAAGTCAGAGTTGATTATTAGATTCTATAGACTTCTTTTAATAAACATGATCAGAGTAACATGGGGAAAAAAAGAAAATTACAAAATGCATTTTGTTCATTTAAAGCATACGCATAGGCTGTAACTATAGAGAATCATTAAACTCATAGCTTTTTGCCTTTCTGTAGTTAAAAACTAATAAAAAAGTATGAATGAAATAGCAATTTCCTACATTAGATGCCCATATGTACACTTTCAGTGAGCTTGTACAGGTAGCTCCTGCTTTTCAAAGTTTGTCCCCTCACCTATAAAAGACCGACCGACATTAGAGCTTATGTTTTCACAAACCAAAGGAAATTTTAAGAGGATTGTTATGTTTATAACAAAAGTCAAAAAGTGAGAGTGGTGTACAACATTTGTTTGCAATGAGTCATTCTAGAGGTAGCACATACCCCCAGTATTGAAAATGGCTCCACCAACCTCCTTCACTTGTTACAACAGGTGTATCTCAGAGACAGTTCGAGTTCCATTCCAGAACACTGCAATAAAGCAAATGTCCCCATAAGTTGAGTAACAGAATTTGGGGGTTTCCCAGTACCTGTAAAGGCTATGTTTGCACTGTAGCCTGCTAAATGTGCAGTAGCATTATGTCTAAAAAAGTAAAATACGTACCTTAAATAAAAAATACTTTTTTTAAAATTTATTTTTTACTTAGGTAACATTAGGATCCCCCACATTAGGTGTCATCACCATAGTACGCCCACTGCCAAGGCACCCATAGTCTACCACCATAGTCCATTGTGCTTTATTCTGGAATTTTAAAAGAATTTGTTCAACTTGTTATTTACCTGAAAGATTTTTTTTTTCAGATGTAAAAGCATGGTATTTCATAAAAAATATTTAGTGCTAAAAATGCTAATCATCATCTGAGTCTTCAGCTAGTCATACTCTTCTTGCTGGTGGAGGGTCTTGCTTTGATATTGGTGACTGCCTCCTCATTAGAGTGGTGGTTGCTGAAAGTTGGGGTGGCTCTTGCAATTTCTTCAAGTAAGACAACAATGAAGTTTGCTGCATCAATTGACTTTTCCTTTCATGAAAGATTTCTCTGTAGCATGTGATATGATTAGATAGTGTTGTACCCACAGAACAATTATTGAGTTCCTGACACAAACTTTTTTCAGGTTTTTCAAACTTTGTTTATCATCGATTTTACCTTGTTTTCTGTCAAAGATTTCATTCCTTTATCATATTAGATACTTACAGATCATTAATTTTGACATCTCTATTGGAAAAAATTATAGAATCTTATATTTGTGGGATTTTTTTAATGTATCTTTCAGGAAGTCTTTCTGAATCATTTCATATCTAATTCATTAGCTTTTCCTTTGTCAGTTTCAGGACAGCTGGATTTTATTTCTCAGAATACTGTCAGGTTAAGTGCTTTAGTTATGCATGGAATATGTGTCAGTTTTCATGCTCCAACCTATCTCTAGGTTGTAACCTTGAGAAAATCAGCATCTTTTAACCTTTACCTATCTCCTACTACCTCTTATGGATTGGATCTCATACCTCTATTTACATGTGTAAATGCTAACCCCCAAATGCTAACCATTCCTATGTTTGGAATAGGCCCTTTAAAGAGTTAATTATGTTTGAATAAGGTCATAACAGTGGTGCCCTGATCAGATCACACTGGTATCCTCAGAAGAGGTGGAAGAGTCACAAGAAATTGCTCTGTTTCTTCATGTGCACAGAGAAAAAGTCATGTGAGGGCACAATGAGATGCCAGGAAGGGATATCTCATGAGAAACCAAATTTTCTGGCATCTTGATCTTGGAGTTCTAGCCTCCAGAACTGTGAAAAAAAAAAAATCCACTTCTACTGGTAAAGTGATTTGTCTGTGCTATTTTATAGGCAACCCTAGCAGACTAATACACTATCTTGCACATAGTATTTAGCAATAGTTAGTAAGTACTTGCTTGTTTCTTATTGACTACAATGTATCATATATTATGGTTCCAGAAACTGGTAAGTTCTCCTGAACTGTTAAGACCAGTCCTTCTCTGCTCCTAAGGGTTTGTGGAAGGTTATATTCTGATACATGATGATTGAAAGAATAATGGTCTTTGAATTTCTTAATTAACCACAGGGTCATTACATATTGGAAATGCAAACCACATGGTATGAAGTTAAATAATCCATTCATGAAATAAATTGGATTTATGAAAAAGATAGATACTAAAATTTCTTGGTAGAATGCATGGAAATGATAGGTTAAGCACAACCTAGGATTTTGAATTTAGTCAAGTTTGAACTCTAATAATATGTTCAATGCCACCATATAACTTTACCTTTCAAGCCTCAGCCTGCTGACCTGTTACTCAGGGAATGTAATGCACATTATTGTGTCCTTATTCTATTACTCAATTACCACAGAAAAGGGAGTGAAATAATTTAATTATTAAGAAAGGTTTGAGAAATATGCAATCCCCAGCAGCTGGCAATTTCCCTTGTTTCCCACTTTCTGCTAAACACACATTCAAGTACTCCAGAAGTAACCAAGTAATATCATGTTTTGCCCTTGAATCAAATTATCTTTGCTATTTCATTTCCCTACTTACTCCTTCTGAATAGCAAAGGTGACTCAGTGAGAACACTGCATGTGACGTGTCTGGGAAAGCCACGTAGGAGAAGCAAACACACTTGTTATGGAAGCATCTGTGGCTTTTCCCAAGGAAAGGAATAAGCAGGGTAGCACTTACATGTCATTGGCAGATGTTTGCTCTGCATACCTAACTACAGAGGTCATGACCACCTGCCCAATTTAGGACTATTGCATTCCCTGAATTTGCTCACTTTTTCTTTCCTGGTACTGTTGGAATGGCTCTTTTTCTGAAGGGAAATACGCCATATGCAACACTGGTTGGAAATATATAATAATTACATCTGTAGAATAACCCACTTTACTCATTGAATGTTCTAATAATCTATATGAATCTCATGATGAGTACTTCCTGCTTTATTAGTCTATGAGGGCTGCCATAAGAAAAAAAAATGATACATTTCACAACAGAAATTTAGTTTTCCCCAGTTCTGGAGGCTGAAGTTTCAAGATCAAGATCAGAATGCCAGCACGGTCAGTTCTGATGAGACTCTATTCCTAGTTTGCAGATGGATACCTTCTCCCTGTACCTTAACATGGTGAAGAGGGAGAGGGAAAAATTTTTCTTTCTTTGTCTTACAAGGCCACCAACCCTACTTGATATACTCTCCATCCTGTGATCTCATTTAAACTTCCTTGCCTCCAAAAAGCTCTATCTCCAAATATAGTCCAACTGGGGCACGGGACCGCAACACATAAATTTGGGAGAGACAAAATTCAGTCCACAGCATATAAATATGTGAGAATTAAGTAACAGTTCAGAATAATTAGTCAATAAAATATTGACTAGGCATTTCAATTCCAAGTCATATTTTCCATATGTCAAAACCTTTTAATTCTTCATCATTCATTGCATTTTTCTTTGATACAGGTGAGTGCTCTTAAAAGTGGGAAAAGTGAGCTGTTTTAGCTGGGAAGAGGGTGTAGCATATGGGAAAGAATATCTGACTCAAATATTGCCTAATTCCTAGTTTAGGCAAATCATTAATTTTTCTAATTTTTATCAGTAAAATGGACACATTGGTAACTACTTAGTATATCTTTGGGGTTTGAATGTCTAAAATATGTACAGCACTCAGGGACTTGGGCATACATAATAAGATGTTGTATGTGTTTTTCTTCCTACCCCCAATCTTCACTGTTGCAGTTTAGCTGATTATGCTGTTATGTAGCTGCTTATGAATACCAGTTTGTGGATTCAGTTCCAATTTGTGGCTCTAAGAAACCAGGATGCAATAAGCCCTTCCATGGCCAGCGTCATTAGTTAAAAGGAAGTGAGAGTTCTAACTTCAGTCATCCTTGAATTCTCCTGTGAATGAAGGTGAGCTCAAGCAGCATAGTTGGTTAATAAGTGAATTAACCTTGGGTGCAACAGTAGGCAGTTATCAAAGATTAATTAAAACCTGCACAGAAGTTTCTAGGGGTCTGTTTTCAGATTTGTCCATTGTTCATATTCAAGACCTGGGTCAAGGTATGTTGCAGACTTTGGCATTCAACTGAGAGCTGGCACTATGTTGAGATTGAATAGTGGATTGAATTCAATAAGATCCAAGTTCTAAGTTGGAACTTTAGAAACAACACATGTGAAGAAGGCTCACTCAATTTAATGGACACTACATTCTGTTTAATTAAGAAATATATAAACTTGGGCCTTCCCTGGTGGCACAGCTGTTGAGCACTGGGCTGCGAAGCTGCTCACAACCTCCGCAGCGCTGGTTCGATCCCCGGCCACCGGCGGGGTCCCACATGGCGTGCAGACCTCTCCTGCCGCCCCCTGCACCCCTCAGCAGTGTATTTCATCGGTCTGCCTGTTCTGTTCCCCACTCTGGTGAAATCTCTCACCCTCCTGAGCTTCTGACTGTACCCAGCGTTTGTATAAATAAATAAATCTTAAAAAAAAAGAAATATATAAACTCATCCTTTAAGATTGAATTCAGTGAAGATGTCCTCTGCAAAGTCTTAGCTGAGTCTTTGGTTTAAGCTAAGTGTTTTGATAATTCCAATATATTAACATGTAATAAGACTATTTATTATAAATTATAAATTGGGATATATTTTATACATAGAAAGAATAGGAAGCTCTGAGAAAAAGCAGAGGTTAGAGAACTGTTTTTAGATTGGCTAGGGAAGAAAAAAACAATAGTTGTATATATTCTTTAGGATTGTAGTAATGTATTAATGATACCTAATGGGTGCTTGCTGTGAGCTTGGATCTGGCTTTTTTTTTTTTTTTTTGCATTGACTTATTAGCATAAAGTAAAATTGTTGAAATGATGGTGAAGATTCTGAAACCAGAGCCAATAGTTACATCCCCAGGGTCTAGCATTGTGCCTGTTACATATGAGATTTTTAATAAATTCTAGGATGTTACTAGAATAAAGTTAAATCATAAGTGGGCAGTGCCTAATTGGTAGTTTGTTTTTTTAATAATAGAATTGCCTGTCCATATGGACAATAAAAAACAATATCAACAAAAATATCTTACCCCTAACTTGGCCACTTTACTACCTGCCTCAAGGTGCCTTGTTAACATTAGCAAGCATGTTTTCTAATCCAATGTGGTCCAAAAAATTTCATTGCAAAACTTCATTTTACCTTATTAAAGGGCCTCAGTTCTCTTATGTTCAGAGCCATCAAAGTGAGACATGTTAAATAATTCAAATGAGAAATTCCTGGTTGCATCTCAGTATATCTCTTGGGTTTTCTTTGTTTGCCCACTCATCTGTAAAAATCATCAAATGTTCAAATGCATAGCCTGTGACTTGGTGACCCCAAACTTCTTGATGCCATGGAATAAATGTGGAATGCTCATATTTAGAACTTGGAGGTCTTCAATTTCTTGTAGTGCAATCCTCTGATGTTAATAAATGGGGATTTCAGAAACGGAGATCAGGCAGTTCTGGGCCAACCCCTCCCAATGTGATGGGTGAGTCACTGACAGAAATGGGGTTGGATGCTGAGTTTCTCTCTGAAATCAGTTATTAAATTTTGTTACTGTTTGAGCCAAGAGACTAAAGAACACTTCATTGAGATGATAAAGACTTTACTTCTAAAATGTGCCCCCCCGCCCCACCCCATATCATCTATTGGGCAGTATGAGTCTCAGTTGAGCCAATTTTCTGATGCTCTCACATTATGTACAACTCTTGTTCCACCCAAGAGACTGAGTTTTCTGTACAAAGAGTTATGCCAATTCATTGAAAGTCCTTGGGTTGCACGTTTCCTGGTATATGACTTCTCCAGGTAGTTGGTTCATTTCCAGCTCATTTGAGAGAGACATCTGTTGGTTGGTTTGACATGATCTCTGTGTTCCTGAAAGTCCACTTTGACAGGTCAATGTAAAAGAACTCGAGAGGGAGTGCTCAGTCACAAGCTGAGTGGCTCATAAGTGCAGGAACAGATTTGAGAGGATTATCCAAGACAATGACTTCAAGATGAAACTGGGAATTGGAGCTAGCCACAGGGCTCTGCAAATTCTTTGTGGCTTATTCCTCTGGGGTGTCCTGTCATTGTGCTTGCCAATAATGAATTTTACTTCCATGTGGGAGCTTTCAGGTCATTTTGATATACCCTAAAGCCATATGTATTTTATTCACTTAAGACATCACTCTGCTCTTTAATTTGAAGAACAGTCTAAGTACATCAGGTTTGCCATGGCATCAAACCTCCTTTTAAACCTATATCTTTTCAATAATAACTTCAGTTCTGGATAGTTGACACATGAATATTTCTTGCTATGGAATAATGGCTGGCAGTAGTCTGAGGAAATTAAATCTATACAAGAAATTCCCAAATTTTATTTCATCCCATGTTTCAACACTCTCTAACTCTAAATGTTTTACCAGACTCATTACATACAGTAAAATCACTTGAAATGACTGGCCTTTTCTTTCTAACTTTATCTTTTACTCCAGTGCGGTACAATTTGAGATGTCACCAAAATGGGGTGACAAGAGAAAATCAAAAATCCAATCCATTTTTCCCTCTCCTAGTAATCCTATTTGAAGGCAGTCACTATTTCTCAGAAAAGCCAAGCCAAAGTTGGACGTGAAGTTGGAAACTTCAGTTTCCTAACCCTGTGACACATGATAAACCTAGATAAATAGTCAAGTTACAAATAATTGGTGTGAATATCTTCTTTAAACTAATCTTATGCTTTTAGCATAATTGACTCTTCAAAGCCTGCCTTGAAGCACTGCACTGCTTGAGTATGATAATACCTTGTATAGATTTATTCTCCAGTATTTCAGAACAATGTAAAAATACCCAGGTGCTTTCTGACATAGACAGAGGTGTTTCTTTAAAGGAGAGTGACACTGCAGCCCTCCTGAGTCCTATGAGACCCCTAAGTACATAACCACCCAACAACCTGAGTAATATCCCATAAATAATTGGATTCTATTCTACAAAATAGTTTCTACATATGAGAAAAATCAATTTTCAAATATGATTTGCCACCATAAAGATTTTATTTATTAAATACCTGCTAGGTACCAGACTTTATATACTTTAAAGATACTTTCATTAAGTCACCAAATCTTCATGTTTTAGAGAGGCGGAAAGTGAAACAAAGGGACAGGAAGGCATTTATCAAGTGGTATAACCTGGAGTTGACTTCAGGTGGGAAGGAAGCTCCTTGAGGTCAAAACTTTGTGCTCTCCTTTGCTTATTGAAGGATGCCTGAATACCTAGAAAAATGCCTGCAAATTGCTGATACTCAATATTGCATTAATGAAAGAACTCAATACATGTATTCCTAAACAATGGTTCTGTATTTTATATTCTATATTCACCTCAGTTTATTCACTCTAATGCTTTGCCTCTTCTTTCCCTCATTTTCAGTCCCTTTGTCCTCATATATATGAATGATTAAATATAGGTATCATGAGTATTTCAGAAGAAAAGTAGAGGGTATTATGGGAATACACAGCATGAGGACCCAAACTATTCTTTGAGTTCTGGGAAGAAGTCCTTGCAAATTCAAACTTTAAGACATAACAAATACTACTCAGAATGTGGAGAAAAGGGAACCCTTGTGCATTGTTGGTGGTAACTGGGATAGCTACTGTGGAAAATAATATGGAGGAATCTCAAGAAATTAAAAATAGCAGCTATCATATGATCCTATAATCCCAAATGAGGGAACATATTCAAGGGAAATAAAATATTGATCTGTATTGCTATGTTTATTGAAGCTCTATGCACAGTAGCCAAGGTGTGGAAAGAGTGTGTCTATCGACAAATAAATGTTTAGAGAAAATGTGGTATATAGTCACGTGGCAGTTATTCAACCTTTAAAAAAACAAGGAAATACTGCTATTTACAGCTACATGGATGACCTTGGAGGCCATTATGTTAAGTGAAATAAACCAGAGACAGAAAAATACTCCATGACATGGTATCACTTTTGTTTTTTAATTGAGAATATTGGTTTACAACACTGTGTAAGTTTTAGGTGTACAGTTTCCTCACCTGGCAACTGTATCAAAACAAGCCATCCCCAGATTTCTAGTTGCCATCTCCCACCAACTAATTGACCCTCTCTATCTATTCTATCCTGCCTTTCCTTTCTAGTAATCACCATTCTATTGTCAGAGTCAAAGGTTTATTTCTGTTTTGGGGTTTATTTGTTCATTTGCCTTTTTTTTTTTTTTTGGTGGGACCCTCTCCAGCAGCGGGGGAACAAACCCCGGCGCTGCAGAGGCTGCAGGCAGCCTTGCAGCCCAGCGCTCAACCACTGAGCCACCAGGGGAGGCCCTTGTTCATTTGCTTTTTTAAGTTTTCCACACATAAGTGAAATCATTTAGTATTTCTCTTCCTCCTTTTGATTTATTTCATGCCCCATAATCCCCATAAGTTCCATCCATGTTATTGAGTATGGCAAGATTTAATCTTTTTTTGTGACCTAATAGTATTCCATTATGTATTCTTTATCCAGTCATCCATCATTATGGTCACTTAGGTTGTTCCCATATCTTGACTATTATGGAGAGTGTTGTAATGAACATAGGGAGTACATATATCTTTTGAAATTAGTATTTTCATTGTTTTGGCTAAATACCTATTAGTGGGAATTTACTGGATCATATGATAGTTTTATTTTTAAGTTTTTGAGGAACATCTGTATTGTTTTCCAGTTTACATTTCCACCAACATTGCACTAAGAGTTCTTCTTTCTCCACAACTTTGTCAATACTTACTCTTTCTTGACTTTTGATAACAGTCATTCTAGTTATTGTGTGATGAAATCTCGTTGTGGTTTTGATATAGAGAATCTTTTCATGTGTCTGTTGTTCAACGGTGTGTCTTTGGTGAAATGCA